CACTGTGACAGATAGATTTGCATCATGAATTTAAGAGTATGTGTGCACACCTGCAGGGTGGGCCAGCTGTCAAGTTCTGGGGCCAGTTTTCTAGAGATGCTCCAGGTGCTGAATCACTCCCTCCAGATGAAACTGAAAATGATCAGATGTTCACTAATGGTTAAAAATGGGGGGGGGCATTGTTTTATTTCAGAATGTATTCTTTGCTAAAATGAGCTTGTTTCAGACTTGGTATCCATGTGTGCATCTGTACCTGGATGCACAGCTCCGGAATATATTTTGACATTTGGTGCAGAAAGAGAGCAGAAGAGGCCATCAAAAATAAAATAAAGAAGTAATTGTTTGGGGCGTATTACAAAAGGCAGGCAGTTTTAATACAATTTAAATCCACTGCCTTTTTCTGCTAAAGATCTCTTTGTCATGTGCATACGCAATCTGTTCTAAATGGTCCAAACCATCTGTTAACCCTTATTTATAGCTGTCCAAAAAAGTACTTTCTAAAAATTCTTTTGACAATAGCTAAGGAGTGGCATTTTTATGATCACTGTTTGTTCATTTGATGGAGGCTGTGGACATGCGGGGGGTGGGGTTGCAAAATACACTTCACAGTGCAGGTGTAGTATAGAGTTGCCTGGTTCATCTGTGCAGCATATCTTTTAGTTATAATTAGCACTCGATGAATGGCAGATATCTCCCTGTTTGATATAACTTCCAAGGCAACAGAAGTGAAGGACCAATTCTGTATTGGACTTGTAATCAGAAAATAGGTCAAATCTAACATGAACTTCTGAAATTCTCAGTTTCAAAAATAATATAACCTTAAGGTAATAATGAAACATCAGTTCTTCTTTGTGGCCTCTGTGAATCACACCCTGGGTGATTCGCGCCTGTGCAGAGCCTCATCGGAAGATTCTAGAGCTTGTGAGGTAGCAATAAAAACATTAGAATATGCCCCTCCCCACCTGTATGAGTACCTTGGTGCCAAGCATCCCCTTTCAGTTTTCTTTCAACCACCGTGTTGAGAACCTCAAATTCTGCTTCTGTGAGTAAAAAAGAGAGCCTGTTCTTGATTCCTTCCTGTTACCATTTTTTTCTTTTAAACTATTAGATCAAACTCTTTAGCCGCCTAGAGTGGTCCTCGATTGACCAGATAGGCGGGATACAAATAAAATAAAATAACTCGCTCGGCCTCTGGTCACAGCACACCCCCTCAATCATTGGTTTTTTCCCCTCACTTATTTTCCCCTATTCATGGCCCCTTTGGGCCCATTTAAGACTGTGTTGTCTGTGACAATAAGATCCCACTTTCTGACGGACACGTTAAGTGCCTTTTCTCCTTAGGAGAACATCAAACTTCCTCCTGTACCCATTGCAAAAATTTTAAGCCCAGAGTTCTTCGATCTCGCCTCTTGAAGTTAAAACTCCGACTTTGGGAACAATCCTTACAACCAGTTCAAATGGCCCAACCTTGTAGGGCCACTTCCCAAACCAAAGCAATGGAAAAAGCAGTTACTGAAACAACATCCATCGGCTACACCAACTCATTCCGATTCTCCATCTGCACTGTCTAAGACCTTGAAGACACACAAATTGAAACCCTCCATACCGAAGTCCTCGATTTCAAAAACAACCTCTAAGTGTCAGAGACCGACTGAAGCTGCTCCAACTCCAGAGCCTGTTCCTCCTAAATGAGCTAAACAGTCTAAGCCTACAGACATCCCACCACAACCACAACTCTCTGAATCAATTTCGGTTGGATCTCCCTCAGACGATGACAGTCTTCTGTCTCATCAACCCTGTTCTCAGTCTCCAGAAAGTGATGATAGAGTCGACCAACCAACATCCTCTCCTCCCAGTCCACAACCTTCCATTCCTTCCAGCAATCCTTCGGTTATTCCATTGCCCAAGGATTCCCATCCCGAACGGCTCAACACTGTTCCATATTTGATGCCCTCGGATCGCCCACCGATCCCTAACCAGGACTGCCGACATCAACAATCTCGACAGCTCGCTTCATTGCATGTGGTTCAAACCCATGCTCAGCACACACATCGGGTTGCCATTTGCCCTGACCAGTGCTCTGCTCGACAAACTGCATCAACTAGTCAACCAGTTGTTTTACTCAGTTCGATAAAGCCATCTAATAGTTGGCCTACCTCTTGACAATCACTGGTGTTGAAGTGGCCACATCACCGAGAGGTGACTATACCTCAACCTGCTTCCTGTTTGGTATTGAAATAATCTTGGACGGTCAAGCAGATTTCATCCACACATGAGGCTTTTGCAGCCCCAGCCTCCCGATGCTTTCCTGCTACAATAGATGAAGGAAATCACTCTTCATGCTCGGCATAGTCAGCGTCAATTTATTCTACTACTATGCTATTGCATCAGCAACCTCAGTTTTGACATCACAGAGACACAGGCTCTGATATCGACGATCCTCGACATTCATCCTGGTCCATGGACACTCACTCCATTCCATTACATCAACACAGTTCATGTCCTCCGGTAAATCCAAGTCATCGACCCATGCACTGTTACGACACCAAGCTTGACACTGAGCTCCATTCCTACCTACAAAAGACCGTCAGGTGACTTCCCAGTCTATCTCCAGATGGGTCACCTCTACCATTCATTTTGCTTATCAACTTGCTCGACAACCAACCCCTAGAGTGGTTTGCCCTCAATCCACCAGGGCAGTGGCAGCCTCTACAGCCTTTCTCTGTGGCGTACCTCTTCTGGACCTCTGCACCTCTGCCACTTGGGCACAGCCGTCCACATTTATCCGTCATTATAGACTCGACGTCCGGCAAAAGTCTGATGTAGCATTTGGATTTGCTGTTCTAGCCTCTACCTTGGCGTGACACCCTGCCTCCGGGTAAGACAGCTTATTAGGGTGCGATTCACAGAGGCCACAAAGAAGAATGACAGGTTACCCACCTGTAATTGTAGTTCTTCAAGTGGGCCTCTGTGATTCAGACATTCCGCCCATCCTCCCCTCTGTCACGCCATTGTGTACTTTCAGTTGACACAACTGAAAGGGGACTCTTGGCACCAAGGTACTTTTACGGGTGGGGAGGGGCATATCCTAATGTGTTTATTGCTTCCGCAGAAACTCTAGAATCTTCCAATAAGGCGCAAATCACCCAGGGTGTGAATCACAGAGGTCCACTCGAAGAACTACAATTACAGGTGGGTAACCTCTCATTTTTATTAATCCTCTCAAAACCCACTTGTGGTTTCTTTTATTCATTTTTAAGTCCCCACACCGACTTTCCACCATGGCTGACATATTCAAGATAAACTATGAAATAAGAGACAAGCAAATAATAGTTTATCCCCCATTTTTAAAACAAAATGCAGCTGTTGGTGAGAACTTGCTCCATCCTGTGTTACCCAGGTTTACTTCTTAAATGGAAAACAGAAGTCATGATAATTCAGACAGTTTTATGTTGTCAGAATTAAAGAAAGTTTTACAATGCTGTACTAGAAGGCTGATCTTGGACGAGAGAAATCGCAGGAAAATTTAGTGGCTGCTGAATAGCTTTCTGTTATTCTTGACCAGCTCAAACCAGTAAGTGGAAATTGTGCATCAGGTGACAGATAGGTTACTACCAATGGCTTGCTGGGGCCTACATATAAAACACACTATGAAGTTTTATTATGGAAGAATTTTGTGGGGTAGGGACTTCACTATGGGCTCCTAGTCATTCTGGCACCTCCTATACGTCAGTTCCTAAGAGTAAAAGCAAAGGTACCGACTCTTCTTCCTCCCCTTGAATGACCATATTTGGCTATGGATTGCCTGAATCAGTAGGGAATTCAACTACAGTGGTGCCTCGACTTATCACCATAATCCATTCCAGAAGATGGATGTAACTTGAAATGGTCGCACGTCGAAGCACCATTTCCCATTGAAATGCATTGGAACGTGATTAATCTGTTCTGGTCTAATAATAATAATAATAATAATAATAATAATAATAATAATAATAATAATAATAATAATAATAATAATAATAATAATAATAGTAGTAGTAGTAGTAGTAGTAGTAGTAGTAGTAGTAGTAGTAGCAGTAGCAGTAGTAATAGTAGTAATAATAACAACAACAACTATACACACACACACACACACACACACACACACACACACACATACACACACAACAAAGAAACAAACCACACAGCAAGCCCCGTTGGAAGGTGATGGGGCTGGGGATTTTAAAAAACCAAAACCAAAAATAAAGCACAAAGCAAGACCCATTGGAAGGCGCTGGGGCTTTTTAAAAAACACAACCAAAAATAAAGGACACAGCAAGCCCCATTGGAAGGCGCTGGGGCTTTTATTAAAAAGCCAAAAATAAAGCACACAGCAAGCCCCATCAGAAAGCGCTGGGGCTGAAAAAATAAACACACCAAAACACACACAAAAAATCACAGCACAGAAACATAACCCCCCCCAGCCCAAACCCACCCTGCAAAACCCTGTAAATGTACTTACTCAGAACCAGAAAGCAGCACCAGGCAGTCCGAAGCCTCCTCTGACACACACACTCTAACCATTGGGACGAAAGAGCTACAAAGAAGCTCTTCACTGACTAATGGTTAGCCCTCTAATTTGAATTCCCCGCCTTTCCCCCCCTGCCTCTTTTGATCGCAACTCGAAGCTCCCGCTGCAAGTTGAAGCAAAATTTTGCAGCCAGAGCTGGTTGCAACTCGAAATGGTTGTACAGTATGTTGGGACAGTCGTAAGTCGAGGTTGCTTTTGGGTTCATTCCAGCTCTACAGTTCTGTGATTCTGTGACTTACTTTGCCTCTTAACTGTTTAATGGAATTTATGCCTAACTAATGAATTTTATTAGCATGCTTTTCCAAGACAGTCCTTCAGAAGTCTACCCTAAAATTCTGTCTTGTCCAACATTTCAGTCGCTGAGGATTATGATAGAAGTTGCAGCAATTTTTCAGAGTGATGTATCTGTACTTTTTCTTTTCTGTTCTAGATAATGGGATTCCTGGAATTTCAAAACAAGCTTTGGAGAATCCACCAACGGATCAACAAATTAACAAACTTGCTAGGAATCTTGGAGCTGAATGGGAGTACATTGTATTGTGTCTGGGCTTGACACAAAATGACATCTATCGTTGTAAAGCCAATCACCCCTACAATATACAGTCACAGATTGTGAGTGCATTCATTTCATGGAGGCAGCATTTTGGAAAAGAAGCTACTCTGGAGAGTCTGTGTTCTACTTTGAAGCAGGTAGAGGTTGCTTCCTCTGTGATCCAACAGATGTTTGAGTGAGAACTGACTATCATTGGAAGACCTTGACATCTCTGTGAAATTACATCTATTAGATGCAGACGTTCTTTCATACAGATCACAGCTGTTCCATGTGCAGTTGCCATAGCTGACTGACCATCTTTCTCCATACTACACTAGGTAGACTCATGGAGGATAGACACACAGACCACAGCCAAGGCCTTACTTGAAGCCTCATCAGCCTGGTAGAATCTTACAAAGCTTAAGCTCAGCTGGCTCCTTGCCATGGTAAACTAGTGTAGGACTTTAGAAAGAAATGTATTGCTATGGTAGTAAATCTGTGTCCTGATGACTACCCATTTAGTTTATTTAGTCTGTCCAGAGACACTCGAGATTGAAGAACTGTGCCTGCATAAAGGTCTGTCTAGTCTGTTATGCTGTGCACATCAGTGGACAACCTTCATTGAGTTGTCTAATCTTTGTTTAACTCAAACTAAGACTCCTGCTTGGACATAAGCTTATGGTACTGCCACCTTTGAAACAGAACATATTCCAAAGCACTTTTTAAACAGCATAAGACCTTGTTCTGGGGCAAAGGGAGATAAGAGCAAAAAAAAATCTTTCTCTGTGTGTGCAGACTTTCACCTGTGCTCAGCTCTTGGTAAGGTTTCACTATGGGGAGAAAGAGCCTCCTGCTTTTGAGTTGCATCTAAGAGACAAGGGAGCATCTTACTTTTAGGAAATGCAAAAGGAGGCATTTTGAATTGTCATAGCATTACATGATCCCAACCCTGGAAGGGGCATGTGGTTCCCAGATATTGCTGAGCTGCAGTTCCCATCTGCCATAGTCAACTGTGAAGGTCTGTTGACACTTGGATGCCAACATATTCCCCATTTCTTTCTTTGTTAATTTTATATGCTGCCTTTCTTCCAATGATCTCATAGTTCTCCTTTTTCTACTTTGTCCACAAAGCACCCTTCTGGAAGAGAGTATGTTCCCAAACCAAGGCCACCATGTTAAATTTCATATGCAAGTAGGAATTTGCACCCTGTTCTCCAGAATCTTAGTACAATAGAAAGGCAGCGTGAACATTAAACAAATATTTTAGCCACTATCCCATGTCTTTTATGCCAAACAATTGGTAGCTGTGCTATTGCATAGTGCTGAGACCAGCTATCTTCTGACTCAGTTGCTCCCAGTTAACAAGATCATGGAAGTTCTTGTCCCGTTTAGTCTATGCACAATACTGTAGTTCCCTCTCCTTCCTGTCCATAGCAGTAGCCATTTGTGGTTGATTTCCAGTTTTCAGAAGGAAGTGGCAAGTTTTGTAAGAACCCTAAATAAGCATTAACATATATTTTAAGACTATAGCATTATTTATTTCCTGTTACCTGTGAGTTTTCTTACAAATAGAGAACAATATAATATATAGGTACCAGACATTATGTCAGTATTAGAGTTGGTGTTTCAGCACTTCTCTAAACTGCAAACAGCCAGTTAAGAAACATATTCATCATTTTTGGGAAATGTAACAGTCAATTTTTAAAAACGTGCCTGCTGGGAATTCTTGCCATTATGAAGGATAACAAACAGTGAGAAATAAACTTAGAAGTGATAATATATATTATGTCAGAGTGTTGTTATTATTTGATTAATAAATTGCTTTTGACTTGGATAGCCACTACTACCGTTCTTATGACATGGTACTACAGTTTTCGAGGAGAAACAATCCTGGCAGGTGACTTCTCAGCCTGATCCTAGGCAGAATTGTACATATTCATTGAAATTCATGCATCTAAGTATGTTTAAATTTGCATAGGATTGAAGCCTCAGCTTATGGGAGGTTGTGTCCTGAAAGTTAGTACCCACATCTTGTTTAACACTAGGTAATGTTATATGGGATTCCACATCACCCCTCAACCCTAAAAGAGGGCATCTTATATTCATAACAGATACCTATACACAGATTTCCCCTCTTTGGCAGTATAACTCAATGTCTCCAACCCCATGTTGACAGGAACATCCACTACCATAGCATTGACAGAAGAAAGTCCACTACCATCTGGGACATTCCACCCACTGTTCTTCTATTTAGAAATTCAGACCAAATTCCTTTTCTTTTTAACATGAATAAACTTTCAGGTCCCTCATTAGGAGAAAAGCATCCTAAAAATGTAATAAATAAAAGTAAAATAAATACTTTCTCAACAATCTGAAAACAAACTTTCTCTCTGTCTATGAGACATGTCTTCAGATATGTGTAGATAAATACCATATTCTTAATTCTACCATCTTCAAGCTAAGCATATTAAACTCCTACAAACTTTCCTCACAGAATCTGGTTTTAAGTACTTCCTTCCACAAATTCGTTAACAGTCCTCTGGGCATATCCTGTTGATATTCTTATTAGACTACCAATGCCCAGCATTCGCAGTGATGCTTGACTATCACAGAGTCATACTTCTGTGTTTGCCAGTGTTCTAGTATTTTTACTCAGTGTTTCTTTACACCTGTGGAAAGCAGCTGTCTTAATGTCCAACATGCTCATCTGACTATCCTCAGCTTTTCCTTTGCTGTGTATCATGGGTCCCAAGGTAAGATAGTTGCTTTTACCCAATGCTGCCATTACTTTCACCTCACCAACCAATTCTTCTCTATTGTTGAGAGTTAATTTTAGGATAGTCCTTGCCTCTTTTGCTTTCTGGAACATGAAATTGTTAGAAAGGAAGATCAGGAATTTATCAGGCCTTTCCTTCTTGGCAGAGCTTAACGTCCAAAAACTAGCATGATTGTGACCACAACAGCTTCATCCACTTCATGAAAAAGACTAGTTTTAATCTGTTTAACTGGGGAATTAAATTGTTAATTACATTTTGGAGGACAATTTTAATATGTGTGGAGAGAGAGACTGAGAAATGATACATTTTTTGGTAATTATTGGGTTATTTTAGTTTAGAAATTTTGTTAAAATTTAGAAAGTGGTCATAAAGTGCAGTGGATTTTATGTTCATGAAACATTGAGAATGTACTAGCATTGAAATGGCATCAATAGAACAGGCTGCCAAAGAGGGGAAATCTGTGTATAGGTATCTGTTATGAATATAAGATGCCCTCTTTTAGGGTTGAGGGGTGATGTGGAATCCCATTTAACAAATCTTCACTTCTTTACTATTTATAATGCTTCTATTCAACTTTAGATTGTGAGATAATCCAATCTGCATCCAATGGATGTTTAAACTAGAAAGATTTTAAAGACAAAGAGTGCCCTCTGTGGAAATAATCACAATTACAGCTTCTGAGAAGAAAAAGTAATTAATTGATTTGTATATTACTGTAACATGACAAGATCTGTATCCCAGTGGTTTCTTCCAATGGCATCTACTGCAGCATTCTGGAGCAGAGCACCCTCAAGCTGTGTTGAGTCACAATTCCCATAATGTCACTGCCAGCAAAGTCCAGTATATCTAAGGAGCAGAGGGTTAAGGAAGGCTGCACTATTAACAATCCAGTTTGTGCATGAGGATAATGCAGCCCACAATCTTTATATGCCTTCCCCTGCCAATTTAAGGAGTATATATCTTGCTTTACCTCCAATTTTTTTTGCTTTATATGCCTTCCCCTGCCAATTTAAGGGGCCTCAGGTACTCCTGGGAGCAACAATTCTCCTTTAAAACAAGGCATTGTTCTCATACCTTGTATACATCTTGCTTTACCTCCATTTTTTTTTTATTTTGAGAAAGATGAATATACTGTATTCAATTTACCTCTTCTACTAAATTTTCTCCATTCCAGTTACAGTGGTGCCCCGCTTGACGATTACCCCGCTCCACGACAAAATCGCTTCACGATGAGGTTTTTGCGATCGCTATTGTGATCGCAAAACAATGATTGAACGGGGAAAATCCATTTTACAATGATTAGTTCCTTGCTTCGGGAACCTATTCTTCCCATTATGACGATCAAAAACAGCTGATTGTCAGGTTTCAAAATGGCCGCCTGCTGTTTTCCAGACCTATTTCCGGAAGACAGCAACTGAAAATGGCTTCCCCTATGGAGGATCTTCACTGGATGATGAGGTATTTCGCCCATTGGAATGCATTGAACCGGTTTTCAATGCATTTCAGTGGGTTTTTTCTTTCGCTTGACGATGATATTGCTTAACAGCTATTTTAACGGAACGGAGTGGGGCACCACTGTACTTGTTGACCAAACATAAAAAGGTAAAAGGTAAAGGTTTCCCTTGACAATTTGTCCAGTTGTGTCTGACTCCAGGCAGCGGTGCTCATCTCCGTTTCCAAAGCCCCCTCACCTGAAGCAAGCTATCTTTTGACAATATTTAAGAACATATTTATTCTCACAGAATGTTTCCTCCTTATTTATTTATTTATTTGTTTGTTTGTTTGTTTGTTTGTTTTATTTTTATACTGCTCATTTGGCTACTAAGGCTACTCTGGGAGGAAATTCCTTATAATCACCAAGAATTGTGATTTGTACATTGTGTTTGTTCAAGACTTCTGGATAACACACAGATGGTAGATCTTCTTCCTGTGTTTATTGTGAAGGCCTACAACGACACTTTTAATTGTGTTCTACAGAGAATGTTTACAGCATTTCCATTATCAGGAGCTCTGATAAGACAGGAAATATGACGATTTGCATTCCTTATAGATGGGTTTGTGGGGAGCAGAGTTTACCAGCATCCTCATGTTACTACCACACTTTAGGCCTTGTCCAGATTCAGACCACAATGCCTGAATAGGGCTTAAGTCCGAATCCAACATATTCTAACAACTATTTACAGTACAGTATATTCTATATAATATACTGTATATAGTGTATAGCTGGCTGAATAATTCAGTGGTTTAAGTATTTGACTGTGGAGCCAGAGGTTGGGAGTTGGATTCCCCATGTGCCTCCTCTGAGTACAGCCAGCCTGTGTGGACTTGGGCAAGGCACACAGTCTGAGGATGCCCCCAGAAGAAGAGAATGGCAAACCACTTCTGAATACTGTCTACCTAGGAAACACTGGAAAAAGTTGCCATAAGTCACAATTGATTTCATGGCACATGATTATTACAGTGTATGCTGCATATAACATATATTATTGCTATGCTAACTGTTCCTTAATTCCAGGTCCATCAGAACGTCTCAGTATCAACTGACTACTCAATGGAGGGGGGGGCTCTGCAAAATCTGCACAGACACACTCTTTGTGATTACTTCATTGTACTGCACTGGAGGCCAAGACCAAGACCATCCACACTCTTGTATTCTCAATCACCATGTACCGTCAAAGCTGGACAGTAAAGAAAATTGACTGGGAAAAAAATATGTTTGAAACGTGGTGCTGGAGAAGAGCTTTGTGGATGCCCTGGATTGCCAGAAAGACAAATAAGTAGGTCCTAGAGCAAATCAAGCACGAACTATCTCTGGAGGCAAAAATGATGAAAATGAGTCTGTCCTGCTTTGGGCACATGATGAGAAGGAAAGATTCTCTGGAAGAGATGATAATGCAGGGAAAAGTTGGAGGCAGCAGGAAAAGACGAAGAGCAAATACGAGATGGATTGACGAGGCAGCAGGAAAAGACGAAGAGCAAATAAGACATGGATTGACTCCTTTAAAGAACCCACAGGCTTGAGTTTACAAAGGTTGGGGACCACTGCTTTAAAGGACCCACAGGCTTGATTTTACAGCGAATGAGCAGGGCAGTTGAGGACAGGGCATTTGGAGACCTTCCATTCATAGGGTCTCCATAAGTCAGAGGTGACTTGACAGCGCATAGTAACAACTGGAAATAGATCACAGGATTGCAAACTGGGTTTCTGGACAAGCTTGAATAAGTTAGAAGCTATAATTCAGTTACCTTTAATTCAATGTTTCCCAGATATGTTACAATTACAACTTCCATAATCCCATTTATAATTAATGAGCTTGCTGACTGGAGGTTATTGCTGAACACAGCTGGAGTGCACTATATGATGGGAGGCTGCTAGAATTTATGAAATGCACTATTACTGAATATTATGGATTAATTATGTGGAAAGTATGAGACTGTAGTGAGTCCTAGAATACAATCTTTGGGTAACGGAGGGGATGGAATGCCCAGTCTGTTGCTTTTGTATAACCATGTCAATTTGTTACTTGCTTTCCTAAAATAAATGGGGGGGGGGAATCTATCAAAGTAGGTCATGGATCCCTTGAGTCCTCAGTTTCCTTGTCAAGTATACTAAAAACATTGATCAGAAACACTATAAAATATACAGAGTTCTTAAAGTTTTAAAGAGAACACAATTAAATCCAAGAAGAAAATTTAAATTGGCACCATGCCTGAAAGCTTCAAAGTAGCTAATGCATAACTGCTCTCTATAACGTCAGTCATTAGATTATATAAGAGCAGGGCATGTAACTATAGTATTACGACATTTGTTGAGAAGTTCATAGTCTATAACGTGTGCTGCTATTGGCTTCATTACAGTGTCAACTCAAACCGTCTAACTCTGTATAATGACAACATTGAGCTACTGTGTGGCCCAACTCCCCTCTGGATTGTTTGCCTAGCAAGTGCCTTTGACTCTTTAAGAAGCATTCTCTCTCAAAATTTGCCCCTGTGCACACTTGTTA